TAAAAGAGGCCAGACAGAAGAAACAGAAAAGAGACAGAAAGATGGTAGATTTCAATCTTAAACATGTTACATGTAAATATTTTAGACATCTTGGGAAAGGCAGAGATTGTCAGACTGAATTGAAAAATGAATAAAAGTGAAATTCAGCTCTACGCTGCCTTTAAGAAGCTAATTTTAAAAAGGCACTTTGCCACTGAGTGGTGGTGCATACCCTTAATCCCAGAATTCAGGAGGCAGAGGCAAGCAGATCTCTGAGTTTGAGGGCAACCTGCTCTACAGAGTGAATTCTAGGCCAGCCGTGGCTACACAAAGAAACCCTGTCTGGGCAAGGAGTGGTGGGGTAGCGGCACTCACTGCCAAGCCTGGTAACTTGAGGTCAACCCTGCAGGAGCCCCATGGTGGAAGGAAATGATTAACCCTAAAACCTGTCCTCTGATACACACACATGTTCTTCCCACCTAAAATAAACAAAACGTCTTAAAAGATGAAAATAGATTTATCTTAGTGACCACAGATATAGTTCTGTGGTACAGTGCTTCCCTGGCACATACAAGGCCCTAGGTTTGATCCTCCATTACCACAAAAAACAAACAAAACAAAAAACCAAAAAGACAGAAAGAGAAAAAGAAAAAACTATTTTAAATACAAAGATACCCAAGAAGTAAGCATGAATGGACAGAAAGGGAAATATCAAAACTAATAGTAATCAAAGGAAGCTAAACTAAATAGCATCAGAAAAAGGAGAGTTTTGAGTAAAGAATGCTACCAGAGACAAAGAAGTTCATTTTAGGCCAGGAATGTAGCTGGGGGCAGACCTGCCTGCTCTGTGAAGTCTAAGATTCAAGGTCTAGCACCTCAAAAAAAAAATAGGTTAATTTCATTTTTCTTGTCTTGAAGAGGTCAATTCTGTGGTTCCCTAGGACCTTGAAGTCAATGTCAGCCTATGATAAAGTGGGGTTCGGGGAGGAGGAGGAAGGAGAGGGAGAGAGAACACAGTAGCTGGAGATTTTCTCAGCTCTGTGTTAACAGCTGACAGAGCAGAGGCTGAGAATCAGGAAGGACACAGACGGCTTGACTAACACCCCCCCCCCCCCGGCTGACTAACATTCGCAGCGCGCAGCACCAAATAACAGCATATTCTTTTCAGATGCAAATGGAGCATTTACCAACGTAGATTGCTTTCTGGGCCATAAAACAAATTTCAACACATTTGAGAGGACTCAAACTGTACCAAAAAATTTATCATAGAAATAATAAATAGAAAGTTAGCTGGATGGTTCCCAAGTCTTTGGGACTAAATAACACCCTGATTAAAATTCAGTGGGTCAAAGAAGAAATCAAAAGAGAAATTTAAAAGTATTTTGAACTGGACCATAATAGAAACATAGCATATCCAAATTTGTTCAGTACAGTCTTATATCTATGAATTGGCACTGATATGAGAGCTGATGTCCCTTTGGTCTGCCTGTCACCTTGTAATGATGGTGACAAGTGTCTACCATGAATAAAGATTCATGCGTCCAGGGAGTGGTCTGTGAGTTTTGTGTATTCATTTGTTTAATATACAAATCATACTATGATATAGGGGACATAATTTACATTTTACAGGACCCATGGACATGGATGTATAAGGAGACAGCCATTTGTCCAGCGTCACACAGGATCCTGTGCTCTGAACTTTGGCTCTTTTTTGTTTGGTTGGTTGGTTGATTTGGTTTTTCAAGACATAGTTTCTCTGTGTAGCCCTGGCTGTCTCAGAGCTCACTCTGTAGACCAGGCTGACCTCGAACTCAGAAATCTGCCTGCCTCTGCCTCCCAAGTGCTGGGATTAAAGGTGTGCGCCACCACCGCCCAGCTCAGTAGGCTCATCAACCTCATGATGATCCTGACTGTAAAGCAGAACCCTAAAGACAGCCGCTACTGTGTGAGGCAAACCTTGCTCTGTCAAACTCCAAAATTCTCTTTGCCACACCCCACACAGCCACATGTACTTTTCTCTCCTGCCCACCCACCCATGTCGGCTTCAGCTGTGATCACAGAACAACTGGCCACATCCACCAAGTGACCCTTGGAGGGGCTGGATTATAATCCCAAGGGACTTCTGGGAGGACATTCAGAATTGATACTTGGTAAAATGTACAACCCCTGAGCCACTGAGGATGTCTGTTGAGGGCTGGGACCTCTTTATTCAACTGAGTATATCACACACACATACCATACACATTACACACACACACATACATGCATGCTCATACACACTACACATACACATCACACATACAGATACACACACATATCTCACACACACATACACACAAACATCTCTCTGTCTCTCTGTCTGTCTGTCTCACACACACACACACACACACACACACACACACACACACACCACATTACACACACACATACCACATAGACACATACACATACCACACACACATACATACACACACAAACACACACAAGCACATACCACACACACACACATACATGCATGCTCACACACACCACACATACAAATCACACATACAGATACACACATATATCTCACACACACACACATACACACAAACATCTTTCTATCTCTCTCTCTCTCACACACACACACCACACATTACACACACACATACCACATAAGACACACATACATACACATACCATACACACACATACCACACACACACATACATACACACAAAAACACATATCACACACACACATGCATGCATGCTCACACACACCACACATACACATCACACATACAGATACACACACATACACACAAACATCTCTCTGTGTCTCTCTGTGTCTCTCTCTGTCTCTCTCTGTTACACACACACACACACACACACACACACACACACACACACACACGCAGCCTCTTGTGAACAGAATCAACATGACCCCAGAGTCAGGAATCTACTACCTTAGGCAGATTCTAGGTGCTTTTTTTCTGGCACTGTTCATGTTCTACAATACGAAATGGAGTCTGAGGAAGGCTGGAGCCTTTGACAAACATGAAAGCTCTTGGTTTTCTCTCAGTAAGCTGGGCCCACGCTCCACAGGTCTCCATTCTTAGTTTCTATATGACCCTTAGGCAAGAGTCTCGCCTCTCCGAGCCTCACTTTCTATATCTGTGAAACGGAGATATAATTGTATCTTATTGACACTCTGTTATGATGGTAATTCTTAGTCGACAACTTGACTAGTTCTGGAATTATCTAAAACCCCAAAATGGAGGGGCACACCTGTGCAGGATTTTGGCTTAATTTGATTATAAAGATCCACTTCTAACCCAGATCTTTGAAGTAGGAATACATGTCTTTAATTCAGATCTTTAGATATGGGGAAACCTACCTCTAACCTGGGCCACACCTTCTGCTGAAAACCTATATAGACATGGAAGAAGGAAGCTTCTGTTCTCTGCCTGCTTCGTCTCCCCTCACTAGCAAGACCATTCCTTCACTGACATTTGAGCCTACTTCTTTGGGATTCCAGCTGACACATCCAGCCTTGTTGACTTAGCAGCTGCTGAATTCTTGGACCTTATGTTCATAGGCAGCCATTGTTGGACTAGCTGGACCACTGCCTACAAGCCATTCTAATAAATCCCTTTCCTAAATATATAGAGTTCTAAATATATACAGATTCATTCTATAATTTCTGTTACTCTAGAGAACCCTGACTAATATATCCTTTATATGAATTACACTTATGTATAAACAGTCAAACTACTGGGTATACACAGAATTCAAGGAATGACATAGCAGCTACGCATGGCATCTGTATGAACTGAGATGGGCGCCAGAGAATACACAGACACAATCATATCTTAGGACATACTTAAAACCATCCACAGTAGCAACAACATGAGTGTCTATTGACTCTGTGAGTCACTCTGAATATATACAAGATGCCTGGGATGGCCACAGGACCTGGGAACATGAATCTTAAGTTCTGGAGAGACAGCTACTTAACAACCAATTCAGATTCAGTGTATGATTTCAGTGAGACAGACACGACAGAAGACAAATTCAGCAGATGCAAATGGGATATAGTGAGAGCAGAGGGAAATGCTGCTTCAGCATGAGAAGCCTGGGCGAAGTCTCTGAATAAAGATGCTTTGGTAAGATGTGAGAAGCAGATGAGAGCTGGGGAAAGATGGGGTAGGGGTGTGTGAGGCAGGAGGAGGCACTTCCATAGATGAACCCAGAGAAAGGGAGGGGGCAGCCGGGCCAGCAGGCAGGACTCTTCGGTTCTTAGAAAAGGACGATCAGAGCAGAAGATGTCCACAAGTCTGTGCACTGGGGACTGGAGCCAGGCAGGGACCCAGGGGACACATCCTTCCCCAGCCAGCTGTGCTGTCCACTGACAGATGTGGCCATGTGACTTACCATTGTCATGAACCCTCAGAGGCTTGTGGTCCAACAGCTCCAGTTGTTGCCAGACCCACTTGTAATAGGCACGGCAGGCTCCCAGGTCTACCATTCGCAGGATTTCACAGCTGCCCTGGACACATCGAGGGACACAAGCAAAGGGTTAGCCCTGGACACTCCAGGCAGCCCAGGCTTTGACCTCATCTAACCCCATTTTGTTTTATTTGATCAGTAAAAATGGTTCAAGGTGTTCTCCTTGATCAAAATGTTATCTCCACATAAAAACTTCAAACACCTATAGAAGCAGAAAAACTAAACATAGTACTGACACTGACCAAGGTCACAATCGAGGATGGAATGAGACACTTGGTGGCGTTGTGAACTGTAGATGACACATCCTGTTGATACTGAGGTTCTCTGACTTCCATAATTATATTGGAGTTAATTTCTAATCCTAGACATGATGACCTGTGGGCTGGAGAGATGGCTCAGAAGTGAAGAGCGCTGGCCACTCTGATACCAAAGCTCGGCCACCAGCAACCACACAGCTCACTACCAGCTGGAGCTCCAGCTCCGGGGGATCGGGCGCCCTCTTCTGGCTTCTTCAGACACCAGGCACACACGTGGTGCACTTATATACATGCAGGCAAAACACCCTCATGCATAAAACAAAACAAAAAACCCCACCTTTTTAACAACAACAAAAAAAATCACCTAGGTCCCCAAGGAAAGCGAGTACAACAGATGATGGTCAGTTGCCTTTCAGGTAACTACAGCAGGTGAACATGTGTGTTAACAGAAAGGGGAGGGAGGGGGAGGGGAGGGCAGCGACTCAGTTCTGGGTAATGAACTATGAGTGGAAAATGCTAGATAACACTAGGAAAGCTATTGTCTTTCCTTGTCTCTTATTTCAACCCTGTTCACACATAGACTTATGCTTACTTCTAGATGATATGAGAATATGACCATGTACACCACTTTGCAGGGGTTTTCTAAGCCCTGCACAGCAAGTATCTATAACCTGAATCTTTAAATTTCTTTTTTTTTGAGACAGGGTCTCACTGCATACCCCTTACTGTCCTGGAACTCACTCTCTAGGCCAGGATTGTCTTGAACTCAGAAGTTGGCCTGCCTGTCTCCCCAGTGCTTGGATTAAAGGCGTGTGCCACCACTGCCAGGCATCTTTTAATTCTATAGAGGCCACTGAGTCAGTTCCCAAGTGCTGGAGTTCTTCCCCTAGGCAGGCAGTGGGATGGTGGGACGGTACTTTTCCACTCTTTGGGCACAGCCTCCTTATTTGCTTTGGTCAGTTTCCTTAGAATGGAGGCTTGTGATGGTGTGGACGGAAACTCTAAAAGCCAGTCTTTGATTCCTGCTCTTCTGATTGTGGGAATTTGGATCAAGTCTCCAGGCAAAGTGTGGAAGCACAGGCTGTAGTCTCAGCACAACAAAGGCTGAGGCAGGAGGATTTCAAGTTTGAGGCCAGCATGGGCTAAGAAGAAAGAATAACAAAGCAATGCTAGAATACTCAGAGCCCTGGGCTTGAATCCCAGCAGCAGGGGAAAAAATGTTCCGTCTATGTCCTATCTTTATAGAAATCTTACCCTTTTCAAAAATGTATTTATATTCTAATATATATATATATATATATATATATATATATATATATATATATATATTTGTGAGGGTATCAGATCTCTTGGAACTAGAATAACAGACAGTTGAGAGCTACCATGTGGGTGCTGGGAACTGAACCAGGGTCCTCTGGAAGAGCAGCCAGTACTCATAACCACTGAGCCATCTCTCTAGCTTCAGGGATCTTACCCTTCCTAATAGGAACTCTAAAAGACACAGAAGGGTTGAGCTAGAAGACAATATACTATTGACAAGGGAACAGGCATCTCACACACCTTTTGCTGTATGCCAGGCCCTGTCCTTGGGGCTTTGTTCAACAGTCATTCAACAAATTCTTCTCACCCAAGAAACGCAGATGCAAGAGAAAGGATTCCTCTTGGGAAAGACTCTTACAGTTCTTTATTGCATCTGGTACTTGCAGAGAGAGGTCCAACCATGTGTCCCCAAGTGGTTCAGAATGGATTGATTATGGCTAATAACTGAGTTTGAGATCCCAGTAGGAATGCTATTCCCCAACCTCCCTCAGTTGAAATCAGCCGCTGGCTGCTGGCTTCTGTCTCTAGTGGCAGGAACACAGGAGTCAAGATGCTAAAGAAGTCAGAACAGGCAGCTACACACCAAATACAAGTGAGACAAGAGAATGGTCCCTTCCGAAGAGCAGGGGCATCTCAGTTCCAGCTAGAGGACACACAGGATCTGGCATGCTCTGGTCTGCTCTGAATTCTCAAAGTCACAGATGAGAACTGTCATATAAATCTTGACATTAAAGTCTAGATTTCAGTAAAGCACTATAAGGAACAAACCTAGCTCCACTGCTGGCCCAGGACGCCCTACCTGCAGCCACACTGTGGTCTCAGTATTCCTTCCTCAGGAGCCCCGACTCTCCTGGAGTCACCTGTGGCACTTAACTCCCACGCAGGTTTTGCAGTGAGCCAATCTTTTAGGGAGAGACAGGAATTTCCCTTTTTTTTTTTTTTGTTTTTTTTTGTTTGGTTGTTTGGTTGTTTGGTTGGTTTTTCGAGACAGGGTTTCTCTATGTAGCCCTGGCTATCCTGGAACTCACTCTGTAGACCAGGCTAGCCTTGAACTCTCAAACTCAGAAATCCGCCTGCCTCTGCCTCCCAAGTGCTGGGATTAAAGGCGTGTGCCACCACCGCCTGGCGAATTTCCCTTTTAAAAAGTACTCTAGGGATGGGATGGAGCAGAAACTAAGGGAAAGGCCAACCAATAACTGGCCCAACTTGAGACCCATCCCATGGGCAAGCACCGATCCCCAACACTATTAATGATACTGTTGTGCTTGCTGACAGGAGCAAATTGTCTTCTGAGAGGTTCTACCCAGCAGCTGACTCAGACAGATACAGACACTCACAGCCAAACAGAGGACGGAGCTTGGGGACTCATAGAAGAACAGGAAGAAGGATTATGGGCCCTGGAGGGGATAGGAACTCCATAGGAAGACCAACAGAGTCAACTAACCTGGATCCTCGGGACTCTCAGAGTCTGAACCACAAACCAAAGAGCATACAGGGCTGGACCTAGGGCCCCCACTTATATACAGCACTTGTGCAGCTTGACCTTCCTAAGGGTTCCAAACAATTGGAATGGGGACTGTCGCAAAAGCGTTACTTGTATTTGGATAAGTTCGTCTAGCTGGGCTGCCTCTTCTGGCCTCAGTGGGAGAGGAAGTGCCTAGCCTTGCAAAGACTTGAAGTGCCAAGGCTGGGAGGTAATACCCAGGAGAGCTTCCACCTGCTCAGAGGAGAAGGGGAGGGAGGAGGGAGGAAGGACTGGGGTGGATGACTGGGAGGGGGCAGTGAGTGGGATGTGAAGTGAATAAATAAAAAGAATGTTTTAAAAAGTACTTTCTAGGGGGCTGGAGAGATGGCTCAATGGTTAAGAGCACTGACTGCTCTTCCAGAGGTCCTGAGTTCAATTCCCAGCAACCACATGGTGGCTCACAACCATCTGTAATGGGATCTGATGCCCCCTCCTAGTATGTCTGAAGACAGCTACAGAACTCATATACATAATAAACAAATAAATAAATAAAAACTAAAAAAAAAGTACTTTCTAGGTTGTACTTCAGAATTCTTGAAGCTTTATTAACTGCTTACAAGCCCTCCCTCCTGGACTTTTGGATGTAATAGTTCTTGGGTGTCGAGTCTGACAATTTTCATACATATATGTTATATAAATATATACACATTGAGAAAAAGTGTGATGCATCTCAACAACGAAATATTGTTCAACACTAAAAAGAAATCAAGTGATAAAAAAAATTCTTAAATGCAAACGTGTAAGTAAAAGCCAGTCTGAATGGCAACATACTCCATGATCCCAACCTATGGCATTCTAGAAAAGACAAAGTTATGACAATGACAAAAACAGATCTATAATTCTGGCTGAGAGGTGGGGTAGGCATGGGTGGAACAGGGTGGATTTAGGACAGCACAATTATTATATATGGCACTAAGTTGATACAGGTTATCAAATACTTGCCAATATTTGGAAACTGTCCAACACAAGAAGGCTGTCCTGGAATGCCCCAGGCTGGCCCCAGTTTTGAATCAATGGTCCTACGTCAGTATCCCAGGTGCTTGGATTGCAAGAGGACAGTCATACGTCACTGCACCTGGATGAGACTCTGATTTATTGGGAGTTTTCTGGTTTTGTTTTTGTTTTTGTTTTTTTGAGGCCATGTTTCATAGACAATGATGACTCCAACTCCCTAAATAGCTAAGGATGACTGCGAACTCCTGGCCTCTTTTCCTCTGCCTCCCAGTGGTGGGATTACATACAGCTGCCACTGTACCTGACAGGATTTGTCCCTCATGAGCTCCCAATTATGGCTGCTGGCTGTGCTGAACCACCTTTAGAAGCCCTGGGTTGGTGGATGAACATTAACCAAGGATGCTTGTGCTTAAAAAAGCAATTTTTTTTAAAAATTTGTCTTATTATTTTTGATTGCACACAGATGCACTTGCACAGAGGTGTGTGTGTGTGTGTGTGTGTGTGTGTGTGTAAATTCAGTTGCCATATGAGGCTAGAAGAATGTATCAGATCCCCTGGAGCTGGAGTTACAGGAAGCCTTCGTAAGAACAGTACATGCTCTTAACAGCTGAACCATCTAACACATCTTCTTTGAAAAATAAAAGATTTTGAATATTAAACTCTTATTGAGACTTTTTGAAGTCAGTGATCCATTTTACAGATGAATAATGGAGGTGAGAACAGGATGAAACCACGGTGGTGCCTGTGGGTGGTCCTGTAGTCCTGTAGTCCTGTATCCCAGCCTTCCAGAGCCTGAGGCAGAGGACAAGATGTTTAATGTTATCCCTTTTGAATGTGTAGAGACTGAAAGCCAGTCACGTCAATTCCAGCTCCTTGAAGCAAAGGTCCTGGGGCTCTTTGGGTCCCATTGATGGATGTGCTTAATGAGGCAGAGTCTGGGAAGTGCTGGGGAGTCACTTGATTACTCTGGGCACCAGCTGTGTGAATGGCTTCCTCTTTCTGCCTGAGTGTCAGGCATTTGCCATTCAGAATCTGCTTCGGCAGTTTTCTCCACCCCTCCACCCCTCCACAATCTGCTACTTACTTAACTAACAGGCCTGAGATAAATCCCCTTTTGCTCCACGATAGCCAGCCTTGATCCTTTTGGGAAAGGGTGACTGGCCCTGGAAGGACAATGCTTCCCCTAGTGGTGGTGATAAGCATAACACCGAGGAAATGCACAGGTTCTTGTACACAAATGTTACCCACATAAGGAGTGCATCAGGCCCGGTGTGGGGCCCAGGAATCCTCAGTACTGGAGACAGGAAGATATAGAGTTCAAGGCCACCTTGGGCTACATATGGAGACGGGGGGGGGGGGGGGTGTCTCAGTGGTAGATCCCATGGCTGCTCTGTGCCGGTACCTGCGTTCAATCCTCGGCATCGCAAAAATAGGGGATGTCAAGACTACTTGTACTGAATAAAATATGCACACTTACTAGAAATTCCACACATCCTACCAGTTGTCAGCCGATACTGGAGTTGTCTGAACTCCTCACCGGTCCATCCTCACAGACCAACCGGGATCTGGCAAATGAAGCCGAATCCACCGTTTCCCTAGTGAGTTTAACAAAAATTTCAAAGGCCATCTATTGTTTAACCACACCATAGCACAGATGTGGAGGCCAGAGGGCAACTTAGGGGTTGGTTCTCAACATCCACCATGTGAACGAATCCCAGGGATTGAACTCAGGTTGTCAGACTTGGTGGCAAGCTCCTTTACTCGCTGAACCATCTTGCTGGTCCGGAGATCCTTTTGTATTTAATTTTTTCTTCATAGAACACCATGGCCCCATGTTACTGAGGCACTAACAGTTTGGGATTTAGGCATGAGAACTTTCCAAGCTCAGGGATTCCTGGTTTGTCCCAGTTTGACCCCCTCTCATCGATGTCCAGAAGATCCAGTTCCTTTGTCTCCTCTCATACACTGCCCTGCTGAGCTCGGACCTTCTTTTCCCACTGGGTCTTCAAAACCAATGGCTGTTTGGCACACAGCAGGCCCTTGAAATAGTACTCATTTAATTAGTATTTATTAAATGTCCTGTCCTGGGCTGGAGAGATGGCTCAGTGGTTAAGAGCACTGACTGCTCTCAGAGGTCCTGAGTTCAAGTCTCAGCAACCACATGGTGGCTCACAACCATCTGTAATAAGATCTGATGTCCTCTTCTGGTGTGTCTGAAGACAGCTACAGTGTACTCATATACATATAAATAAATCTTTTAAAAAAAAAGAAAAAAGAAAAAAAAGTCCTGTCCTGTCCTTTACTTAATCATTCCATCGGTGGGAGGGGCCCCTGCTTATGTCCATTTGAGGTCTATGAAGTCACATGGAATGGAATTGCTATCTGGAGTCCCTTTCCCAAATCTGTCTGTTGTTACCTCATGGCTGCAGCTCGGAGGTAGAGGGGTGTGGGAGAGGAAGTGTCAATGGTGGTCCCTTTATACTTCCAATTTACAGTGAGCTCTTGGGGGTTTCAGTCTATTCAGGTCACTGGTCATTAGAAAAGGCCTTCTTTCTCACCCTCCCCATCCTGATTTTTTAGTCCCCATAGAGATGAACCTTTATGTCTTTTCCTGCTGCAAAGACAGGCTCAAGGAGCACTCCTCCAAGAGATGAGCAACCGCGTGCTTGGTCCCCCAGGCTGCAGTGACACTGTCTGCTTGAGGACAAACGCATTGCTTTCATGCTGTGGAACTGCAGGATCCTGATGTTCTCTGTCACTATCTTCCCCAGTAAACCCAAGGCTTGCACAGGAAGTCAGTGTGCTGCGTGTGGTTTTACAAAATGAATCTGACGAGTTTTGGGGCTCTGCTCTTGACTGAAGGCCTCTGGAGTTGCTTGTAGGAGCTATGTGAATCCCATAGAGCTCCCGCTGTTATCCCATGTCTCCTAGGTGACTGTTCTAAAATATCTATAAATGCAATTATTATGAATAAAGTTATCAGTCAAAAAAAAAGTATTGTGTTACCAACTCATAAAATGCCTGAAAATGTAACACTCAGCTGGGGACAGCCTACACAAGCCATTTCCAGTGCATGCCCATCTTGTGTGTTCTTTGGATCTATCAGTCTCATCTTCCCCTCAGCTCCCTCAGTTCCCGTAAAGCCTCCAGCCTTGCAGCTCTGCTCCCCAGTCCTGGGAAACCACTTATAAACATCCCTTGGCACTTGGCATTCTTAGCTGTGCTGCAGGTCCAGTGGAAGAGAGAGAGAGAGCCTTCCCCATCTTTGCCTGCGTTCATACCCTGGACCAGCATAAGCTTGGCAAAAATGCAGCAAGTATCTTTGGTGACTTGCAGTGTAAGGAACTGGCAGGTCAACTCCAGTCCCAATTCCCAAGAAGAGCTTTGGAGTCAGAGAGAGCTGGGTTGAACCTTGACCCCTCCCTTCCACTCCATGACCGTAGACAGCCATATTCTTGTGCCTCAGTTTACTCTTCTGTTAAAGGAGAACGAGGGCCCTACCAACCTTTGGGAGGTTAGTGTGAGGCCCAAACGAGACATGGGACATGAAGCATAAACAAACTTCTCTGTGGTTATGGCTACCCATAGTCTACCGGAGGAAGACTGTCGAATGGGAAGCTTCGGAGATGCAGAGATTGTGAGTTTGAAGTTGTGCACCTTTCTTCGTTAGAACCATGAGTCTATTTCTTGTCACCCTCTTCTGTCATGCCTGGGACACGAGCCATGACCAGTGTATTCATGGCATGTGCATCACCTACCTGGGAGGCGCGTTAAATCTCAGTTAACAGCTTGACTGTTAACGTGCCACAGTTCGAATGTCAAGTGACTTTGATATACCTAACAGTGACCCCAAAACACAAAAATTGTGATTTTTATGATATAAATACATTTTCTATAAATTTCATCTTACACTGTTAGAAAAGGGGAGAGGATATGGTACTTGTGTATTTAACAGTTGTTTTATGATTACTTAGTCTCTTACTGTGTCTAAGTTATGAATCTGAATATAGGGAAGTATGCAGCAAAAGATGCAGTCCATAGAGTTAGGTCCTACACTCATTTTCCAACACTCAAAATGGACTCCCATCCCCACCCCCATCAACAGGGGTGCACTGTACATCCCGACCCACTGAGGCACAGCAACCCGCTGAGGCAAGCTCTCCATGCTTTGCCTCATAAGCATGAAGCCAGAGCAAGGAAGGTCAGAAAGGTACATGTGCTGCACATACTGTGGAACAGGCTCAACCATGTCCGCCTGGCCAAAGGGCTTTAGATTAGGACTGCTCTTCCCAGCTTTGCTTCCAGATCAGACCTCACCTTGCAGATAAATGTGACAAATGCCGAATTTGTAATGTCTTTAGACACCAGCTGTCCATGTGAGAACTTCTCTATCCTCCCCAAGGCCACCAGCTTCCAGAGCTTCTCTTCAGACCAAGATTGGAACATATCCAACTTCCTGGGGGAGAGGGAAGCCTATTAGAATGTGTTACTCAATACTAGAATATTCCAGAAAGGGGCCTTGTTCTTTGATTCTTGTGAAAATGCATGGGGTGGAAGACTTCACCAGGACACATAGAGTCACCTCACCCAGTCTGTGGTCAGCGTCTGGCCTCCTCCTCAGCTGAGGGCCCCTCCCTGTTATGGCTCAAACTCTGGAGTTATGCGGTACCTGGATCCTCCCACCCTGATTTTTTGTTTGTTTGTTTGTTTGTTTGTTTTTTCGAGACAGGGTTTCTCTGTGTAGCCTTGACTGTCCTGGAACTCACTCTGTAGACCAGGCTAGCCTCAGAACTCAGAAATCTGCCTGCCTCTGCCTCCCAAGTGTCCCACTCTGATTCTATATCCAGGAATCTTCTTTCAAATTCTGTCTCTGCCTCTCTCTGCAATTCTGGCTCGGCAAGCTCATCCCATGCCAAGGAAGGTTAGCTCAGGTACGGTTTCTTACTTCAGCACGCTGGCTACTTGGTTCCCAACCAAGGGATCCTGCCCTACCTTAGGTCTTAGACCTTAAACCAGCCTCTAGCTGCCTCTGGTCTGTGAGCTTCAAACATTTAGCTCTGAGCCTGAGGAGAGATGTCTAGAGTCTTTTGGAGTTGTTTAAAGCTCCACTCCAAAGAGGCTATCTCTTCCTGACCTCACGTACCTTGAGTCAGAAGCTGCCTCTCTCTGGCTGGTGGCTCCACGGGGCCGTTAACAATGACAAATCTCCCTACGTTCTAACATGTGATGGGCTCAAAACTCAGCTGACCCAGGTTGACTGAGCTTGTTAACTCGAGTTTATGCAGGTGTCAAACAGGCTGAGTTCATTTCTGAGCATGACATAGGAACAGAGTCCATACCCTGACCTCAGAGGGCTGTCTAGAAAGGAGGAAGAGGAACAACATCCCCAGAAGAGCACCTACTGTGTGCCATGTACCGGGCACTCTCCTCTATCACTTTATCCCATCATTACAGCCTGGAAGAGAGCTCTCACCATCCCATTCCATGAAGCAAGAGACTAAAACCCAAGAGTTAAAGCCCTACCCCGAGTTGCCTTAGACCTGAGGCTGTGGATTTGGGCTGGGCTCAGAAATAACTGATACAGTCGCAGCATCGAGCTGAGGCTGGCAAACCTGTATAGTCAGCTGCTAAACTACAAACCAGCTAAACCACACCACACTGCTAACTAGGTGGTAGCAACCAAGCTTCCCCCCCCCCCCCCCCGTGTCCTCTCGTTGCATCTCTGTTGCTGGCTGTAGTTCTCAGGATTTGCTTCGGTTCTGGGAGCTAGATGAGTCTCACACTGTTTTTACTTGGCTTTGTTGAGCTCTGCTCAAATAGACTCTTCCTACTAAACGTAACTGGCCCATGGAACTCTCCTCTTAGTGAGCCTAGGAGCTGAGGTTTGGTGTGAGACCCCCTCCTCCTGACTTTTCCAGGCTCCGACCCCTCAGTGATGCTACTTCCCAGGCCAGACATGGGCTAGACACCTCTGTCCAGTACAGCTTCATTTAGTCATCATTTATTGGCTGAGCATTGTGTGCGTTTGGCGCTATGACAACAGGGAGATAACAATGATGGAGAGGCCATACTGGTCCCTGCTGGCACATTACTGTCAGATATGGCATGTAAACTATGAAACAATTACTACACAGAGGAGAGTCATGATATGGGTAGAGTTTTCAAGGAATACAGGATACAACAGAATTGTAAATGGGGCACCCTATCCTGAGGTGATTAACAGATGGGGTACATTAAGTGAAATAGAACACTGGGACTTTGTTTTGGATTGGTTTGGTTTTTCAAGACAGGTTTTGCTGTGTAACCTTGACTGTCCTAGAACTCACTCTATAGACCAGAGTTAGTTATCCTTGAACTCACAAAAGATCCCCCTGCCTCTGCCTCCCAAAGGCTGGGATGAAAGGCATGTACCACCAACTACCCAGACCTTGTTATTTTTATATTAGACATGGCATGTCACCATCCTGAGGCCTGCTACCCTCATCTACACTCCAAGGAAAATCAAAGGAACAGCCCCACAGGATTGTCTATGAGGCAGTATATAATACCAGTACAAAGGACTTATCCCCTGCCTGGCCTGGCACGCGCTCAGCCTAGGTCAGCTATTCTCAGCTTCTACTTCTCCCCCGAGGAAGAGATGTTCGAGCCGAGCTATGAAGGCAAAGCTTGGAGTTTGGCTAGAGAGAGAAGCTGGATGGGGATTTCCAAGTACCCAAGGCCAACAGCAACCATCAGCAATCAAAGGCAAAGCCAAGTCCAGGGAAAGGGGAAAGATAACCAATGAGGCGGGGTTACCTAAAATAGTTGTACCGATACTGAGTTTCCTTCTGCACTTCATCACCCAGCTTATTTGCAAGGAAATCCTCTCTGTCCACCACCAGGAACTCTGTCTCCTCCATGCAGACCACAGTGGCCCTCCTTACTGCGGTGCTCAGAAGGCCCATTTCCTGGGGGAAGCAAGGACAAGGGCAAGTGTGACTCCACACTCAGTCAGGTGTTCATCTTCCCTGCCTCTGGCTCCCTCTAGAAATCCCCCTTGGGCCTCTCCAGACTCCCATTCGCCCTCCCACCCTTTATCTGTATGTGGGAAAGAGACAACAGGTCTGAAGAGGCCAGAGCAGAGGGAGTGGAGAGGCCTCTGTGGAGTCTATGGCATCCCTGAATCTATGAAGAGTGAAAAGGCAAATAAATACAGATAGTGAGCTTGATCAGCATAGTCAGGCTCATTGACATTGGACAGCTGAGGAAGAGCCTTGGGGCCTGTGTGGTCCAGTGACTTGCACAGAGGACAAGGCAGTCAGGACCTGGGTAAGAGGTTGGAGCAGTAATCCTCTCATACTCCAACCCCAAACCACAGAAGTGGAAGGCCTTCCCTGCGGCTTACCCCGAAGCAGCCGCCCCTGTACAGCAGCGTGGGGTGAGGGTCCAGGAACGCACTGCTGCCGTCCTCGTCCTCCGTCACCGCCACCGTGCCCAGGTAGATGAAATAGAAGCTGTTGCCCCTCTGCCCCTTCTTGACGATTACACGCCGGCGGCCAAACCTGGGAAAGGTTGTGGAGGGCAGATTTTTATTTAGAAAGTGTTCTAGACTCAGGGTTGTGTGCTCAGAAATATGAGGGCACAACCTTAGAGTAGAAGAGACTTCAGAACAGCCCCTCCCCTGTCTGTGAGGACCCTTCACTCATACTTAGCCAGTCTACTGCCTCAGAGGCTTTCTGGAAGCAGCAGCTGCTTCAGTTTGGCTCACTGCTGGTTAAGCTTAGCATCTGTGAGTGTTTGACTGACAGTACGTGACCAGAGGTGCCCAAGATCATGGAGATACAGAGAAACTGAGCAGTGACAAGCACTGGCTTTAGAGTCACACGGGGAGCAGATCCTGGTTCTGCACTTGGCTGTGTGACTGTGGGCAGCTCATCTCTTTGAAGCTCCGTTTCTCTTGTCTGAATGATTGGTGACAGGCTTAGGAGACAGAGAAAGGGGCTGGTGGAGGCAGCAAGCCTGACTATCCGAGCTTGTTATAAGGACCCATGTGGTGGAAGGAGAGAACTCATTCCCTCAAGTTGTCCCCTGACCTCCATGAGATGCTGCTCATGGCCCTCCCAAATTAAAGATGAGAGAGGAGGGAGATCTTCTCTCTAGTAGCTCTGTACGTCACTTAGGACACACAGATCCAAGCCTAATGGTGATCGGATTGCTTAACCTCCATGACTTCTCCAGAACAAGATATTTACATGATATTGTATGCTATGTGCCTTTTAACAGACTGGCAAAGAGTAATATTTTAAATACATAAGATAAAACCCCAGTAGAATCAATATTTGGGGAGTTACCAGATGGTTCAGTGGGTAAAAGCACCTGCCACCAAGTTCAGTATGAGAAACACATGGTAGAAGGGAAGTGACCCCTGTATATCTATCTGTACACTGTCCTCTGCCCTCCACACATAATAAATACATAAGTAAGTAAGTAAATAAATAAATAAATAATAAAATTTAAGCTAGGTTTATTTGTACATGCCTTTAACTCCAGCAATTGGGAGGCAGAGGCAAGCAGATCTCTGAGGATATGTGAACTAGACTAGATTGAATCAGAGGCCCTATCTGGTCATTTCCGACTCCAGGACTGTAATCTGAGGACTCTCAGTAGGTGACTAAGCTATGCTGCTACCCTTACCAGGGAGCACTCAGGTGATCTGCTGCGTCCTTCCCCTCTGCGGCCCTCTTGCATAGTTCCCCTCACTGACCTTTCAAAGCGCATGACCTTGGCCAGGAGGAGCTGTAGCGACTCTGTATAGTTGCGGTAGCAATCTAGAGCTTTAAGAATATTGCAGAGGTCTTGGATCTCCTGGTTTGTCCTCCAGGATGGCTTCTTATGTGTGATAGAAATGGCCCGAGGAGGGAAGTGACCCTGGGAAGACATGGCCAGAGGATTCTAGCAGGCAACTCTCCATATTGTTGCTTGCATGCTTGCCCGTTCTGTGCACAGGAGTGACTGGCATGGATTAAGGGTTGTGTGCCAACCACCAAGTGCATCTTACACACCCACCTCACATCTTCATCCAGCCCAAGAATCATTCCCATATAAATGAAGGAACTCAGAAAATAGCCTTGACACCTGCCAAAGCAGGGTATGGGGCTATCTTGCACCAGGACTTCATGGTTCCCCAAGCAAAGGCACACTGCAACTGTGAGAGCTGTCCTTGTCTCGGCCAGCATGCTCTTCTATGTAAGGACCAGTCAGGGCTGACTCATTGCACTGCTACTGTCTACAGGCTGTGCTAGCCACTGTGGATATTCTTTCTGAAGCCCTCCTGCTTTTCTCAACTCCTGTGCACAGAATGTTTCTCAGTTCTAAAATTCTCTGGTGCTTAAACAGGTCCCTGGTTTCTCCTGGGTGAATCAGGGTAAAATTTTGGCAGTCCTTCTATGTCTAGCTTTAAGCATCGGCTGCTCTGAAAAACTGAAAGAAACATGAAATTGAGAAGACTTTCCTCACTATGATTCACTAATGGGGGGATATGAGAGATCAGGTTGTATCCTGGAGAGCCATGGAAGAGCACCAACACCTCCCAGGGGTGGGGTGGAGCGGTGGAATGGGCGCAGTGTTGCTAGTACCAATTACAAAGTTCTGTTCTCCCTCTTTCCTCGGAGAAAAGCCAAAATGGGTCAAGACCAGGGTCGCATCAGGTCTGAGAGAGTGAGAATGCGACTGATTCCTATAGACAGGTCCCTTTAACTTTAAAATTGGATATTAAGTAGGAATTTAATATCCAAGATTTGGTGGTCAGAAGAGAGGAAGGTAAAAATGGTGTTTGAGTTGAGAGACTGCACACAGGCCAAAAGACCCATACAGAGAGCAAGTCCTCTTGTCAGAGTGGGGCTGCAGCTTAAAGCACATCCAACACAGGAGGGGCATGTACCCCAGCATCCCTCAGAGAGCTCAGAGCCAAACCAGAATTCACCAACAGGCCAAGGGGTTTCCCACCACCTGGCTTTCTTCTCCTCTGGCTGGACATCCTGTGACCTGGCTTTCTTCTCCTCTGGCTGGGCATCCTGTGACCTGGCTTTCTTCTCCTCTGGGTGGGCATCCTGTGTCCTCTTGTTTGCTTTCTGCTGTTTTCCTGTAAGTCCAAGCCCAGAAGCTCTCCCAGATCGGCTCTTCTCAGTAAAATGGTGGTAATAGTTGATATGCCAGGGACAGGGGACAGGATCACTGTGATTAGACCTGAGTGGCCACTTCTGAGTGCCACTGGTGCTAGCAGAACCTGAACTAAAACCAGCTATGTCCGGTTCTTCTTCAGACTGAGGCAGACCGAAGAGCAGACCCACCCTGACCCCCACACAGGGAAAAGTCCAAGCTCCACACACCTCCTCTGCAGCAAAGTCCTGGGTATCAAATGAGATGCGGCCTTGCTTCTTTTTCTGAAGAAGAAAGGAAAGTCAGTAAAAATTCCCCTGGAGTTCTACATCGGAAGCCTTTCTATCTACCCAGGCCACACTGGTGAATGGAAAGCCGTGACAGACTTCCAACCAGCCATTTTGTTATCACCTCGGCTCAAAAACCCCAACTCTGCCCTATGCTAGCATCATCAACATATCGTGAAGGCATGGTAGAGAGAAGGAAACGGCAGCAGGGGAAAAAGAATAAGGGAGAAAAGGAAAAGGAGAAAGGAGTGGACAGACTGGATAGCACAGAAGTGAGAAAGGAGGGACAAAGAGGGGCGGGTGAAGTCAAGCTTTGTTAAGTTTCTATAGCAAGTCAAACACGGCACGTCTCTGTTCTATCGCTCGACTCCGTCAATGGAACAAAATTGGTTTTATCAAGTCCCGTACAACTGTCGGCTGGCACAGTCACTGGAAACAGCAAGAGTCATAAAGCCAACCCAAAAACTGTTGAACAAAGTGCCAGCAAAGCTGCGCCAGACACTGCAATCGCTGTCCTTCTGTCCCTCATGTTTGACTTTTGGCCTCTGTGTGTTGCATTCTTGGGGACTTTCTGCATTATGATTCATTTTATGCCTTTTCTCAAGAAAACTGTGTCCGAGTCTTTCTAGGAAAAGTCTTACACTTAAACTTGTGCTTCGAACTTTATCTGGCCCTATTTGGAAGTCCTTATGCCCTGGAGATCATTAAGCATAGATAAGCTGTAATAAGCTGGGAATCCCTAAATGAGAACACTAGACCAGGAATCTTCTTGTCTGCACGGAAACAAACTCAAGCAGTATAATTGGTGCAGGGTACACAGAGACAATTGACAAACTCTGACCCACCAGGAGCCTAGGTTACAGATTCAAGGCCTCCCTTTATATTACTCTTAGGGTTTTCTGAATATATAGTTTTAAGGATAGGGGGTCATACAGGAATAGAACAGGAATAGAACTCAGGAAACAAAATACAGACACTAAAATAAACTTTTTCTACTTTATAGCACAGAGGATGAAACAACAGAGTAAAAGAAATTGGGTATTAATATTTGCTATTCAGAAAAAGACCTGTCCAGATATTTTCTGTTTGTCTGGGGTACTTTAAAATTACAAATTCTACCAGCCTAAAATCTGGGCTGTTCGTATAATAAATGTGTTTGCTTCAGAAGAGATATTCTTTATATTCTTTAAGTTGGAGTTTCATGGCTGGTGATAAAAATAAACTCTGTCCTGTTTGTATTTTCCAATTGCAACTGAACGTGTAACCCTGGAGACATAGTGAAAACTCAAACACATAATCTATACTTCTTGGCTAATCATTAGTCTGTCTTCATTCTGTAAAACCTCTCTAAATAAAGAAGCACCTGATTGCTAGTCAGTCAGAGCTGCAAGATTCTCCTGACCACTTCCTGGCTCACTCCTCCTCCACAGGCCACCCTATCAGCAACCTGCCAGGGAAGCCTTCCTCACCCCTATGCCCCGCAGCCAGCCACATAGAAAGTAACCATGCCAGAGCATGGCCAAGGAAGAGAACACACGGGAAGAAGCAATGTAGAAGAAAAGTCACCAAACCAAGGAGCCCATTCTCCAGAGAATGCCTCTAATAGTTCCCTGGAGCCTACCTGACCCCCTCACCTGCTGTGAAATGCTGTCCTCTGAGCGTGACAGCCATTTCCACCTCCGTGAGAACAGCTGTGGTTACTCACCAGAGACACTCAAGATTGGGCCTGTGGGGGTTGCTCATAGAGAGAGAGAGGGCTGGAGGATCTTTAGACCCTCACAGTTAACTTCAGCTCCTCTCCCGTACCTCACTGCCAGCTGAAAGCATTCTGTTCCACCTGGACGCAGTCTCCAGGGTGCCAGAGCAGAGGGACTGTGGAGGGGCTCCATCTATCCGGCTCTGAGGGAGTTGCCGTCCATGTTGGGATGGGGCTTTTCAATGATGCGGCTGTTGAGAGGTATATACCCATGCTCCCACAGAAACCCTCACTGTGCTTCTGTAAGTAAGCCCAATGAACTCAGTGGTTCTCCCAGCTCCCATTGAGAGGAACCGGTGCTTTGCTCTGTTGTGGGTATCTTATCTGGAGGGGGTGGGCATTTGTTGGCATCCCTCCAGGAACAGTTTACACAACGTTGCCTTCACCCATTGCCTTTGCATTTCTCAATCCAAGTGGTGCTTCTCAGGGGAGCTCACAAAGGAAGAGAGAGGTGCTTGGAAATACAGATTCACACAGTCCATGAAAAACTAGTCTCCACCTGGCCCCCGAGTTCCAGCCCCATTCTTCAGTTGACAGCCACACGACCCCCCTATAGTTGCCATTGCAAAGTTTCTTCTCTCCTGGAGGCCACTCTGACTGGGCACTGTGGTGAGGTTTGACCTCACACTCCCCTGATGTCACCTCGCACTCTGGGTCATGTGTTCCCCATTGCCCATGTATAAGCCCCACTCTCTCCCGTTGCTACTCTGTGAAATAAGATATCCTCGAAAGCAAAGCCTGGCATCACAGACTACAGTTCCAGCCAATGTCTCTGTCATCTCATGGGCCAGCTGAAGACCTGCTGGGTTTGAGCATCACTATCAGAGAAGGAATGCATTGAAATGTCTCTAGGATAGGTGAGTGCTGCCTCTCTAGCCAGTACACTGGTCCCACCTCCTGCTAAAGCTTCACTTACTAATTAGATTGTCTCAAAAAAAAAAAAAGGTGGAAGTCCACCTTCCTATCCCCCCACTTTCCCTCTCTTCAGCCTCTGTCCTTCAGAAATTATTCTGGGAAGTTTCTTGGAATAAGATGTTAGCTACAGAAGGCAGAGGGTTGGGTCTAATCACTCCTGGCCCAAGAGGAAAATGGTCATGGCAGGTCTGCATCCTGGACTGGGGAAATGTGGATTGTTATCTGTAATGCAGCTGAGGTCAGGTGAAATCTTAGTCAGATAAGGCCTGTGATTGGGCAGTGGAAAAAGAAGGCGGAGCTGGAAGTTTGAGAGCGGGGACAGAGAGACAGAGAGACAGAGGGACAGACAGAGAAGGGAAGGAGAGAAGATGGAGGAAGAGGATGAACACGGCCTGAAATACCCTCAGGTAGCTATGGCTATCATAGGAGAGCAATGGAATAATGTAGGGCATATTGTCCACTCTAGGTGTGCAGCTTGTATCAGTATCAATGGAGTTTTGAATTCCTTGTGTGGGCATTTTGGGGGTTGAAGATTTACTGTTATAAATCTGGCCAGTAAATTACAAGCCTCTGGAGTTTTCATTATACAGGACTAGGGGTTTAGAGCCAGTCGCTCCAGGCAAGCTGCAGGGGATGGATGGCATGGGGGTGTGGAGCCATTTGGGGTCAGGCTAACCTTGGGAAACTGAGCAGACACTGACTTGCAGCTCCCAATGGGGGAGGGAAGACAGTGTTGCTGGGCGCATATCTGGCTTTAGCATGGAGTTTTAAAAAAAATAATAACACACTACAGGGGAAACACTTACCCCGGGCTGGGGTGGAGACAGAGTACCAATGAAGAGATCTTTGAGGAAATATAACAAACTAGCAGAATGAGGACTGTAGTAGTTGGAATGAGAATGCCCCCATAGACTCATATATTTGAATACTTAGTTCCTAATTGGTGGAACTGTTTGGGAAGGGTTAGGAGGTGTGGCCTTGTTGGAGGAGGTGTGTCCCTGGGAGCAGGCTTTGAGGTTTTAGAAAGACTCCTGAGATTTCCAGGGCTCTGTCTCTATTTCATACTTGGGAATCAGATATGAGCTCTCAGCTACTACTCCAGCACTATGCCTGCCTGCCTGATGTGATACTCTCTGGCATGACAGTCATATGGTCTAACCTAAGCTGCAAATAAATTCTTCTGCAAGTTGTCTTGGTCATTGTATCTTATCACAATACAAACAAAAGACAGTGGACAACCAATCAAATTTCTAAGACAAAAGGGGCTCATGATTTACTGTTGAGATAAGATATTTTGCCGGGCATTGGTGGCACACGCCTTTAATCCCAGCACTTGGGAAGCAGAGACAGGTGGATTTCTGAGTTCGAGGCCAGCCTGGTCTACAAAGTGAGTTCTAGGACAGCCAGGACTACACAGAGAAACCCTGTCTCGAAAAACAAAACAAACAAACAAACAAAAAGATATTTTAAGCTGGGACCTTCTTTATCTTGAAAATGGGGTCCTCACAGCAAACAGGGCCCTGAAAATGTCCCCTTTCTTTTAGTGAAGATAGAAAAGAAAATAGAGAACGCACACAGCTTAAAACACTCAGAAAAATCCTGGTTCTGATGCGGTTCCCCGACTCCTTCAGGCTGTTGTGATTACAGTTGGAAAGTATACCATGACTCCCTCACTGCTGGTGTTTCGGGCCACATGGACAGGCATGCAAGCAGAACACTTCTGCTTCCTTGAGGAGAAGGAGGAGGAGGAAGAAGAAGAAGAGGAGGAAGAGGAGGAGGAACAGCAAATTCTGAAAGGAGAATCTGGACAGGAGCTCCACTTTCCTCCCCTAACCTCTGTTCTGCCCTAAACTCAGAGTAGTAGGCCCTGCTACTGTTCTGCACCAGAGGCCTGCCCCAGCCAGCACTGCCAAGACAGGCCATGAAAGGCTGTCTAACTCAGGGTTCATTCTTAGACAGCCTAGTTGTTTTATGATGTCCCCTTCTACCCAACGTGAGGGTTAGGAGATGTGCTGCACCTGTTAAATCCCAGCACGCCTGCTTAGTTGGGCAACTTACATCCCAGAAGGAGAAGATGGGATGCTTCTTCTGAACAGGCTCAATGATCTGATATTCCCGGAATCCCCTGAGGCCTTGACGGAACATCTTACACACCCGACTCATCATGATGATGTCTACGGTGAGCTGGTACAGTCCCTGGAAGCAGAGTGAGCCAGGTCAATGGAAGCCATCCACCCTCAGGCCAGGCAGCTCTAAACAGGGCAGAACCAGATGAGATGAAACACAGTGGTGTGTTAGAACAGTGCTTACACAGTCACGAGTCTTGTTTGCTGGGATACTGGAGGGTTGTGGTGCTGGTTTGGGGGTACTGGGGGTTGAGCCTAGTACCTTGAGCATGCTAGACATACACTCTAGTGCTCAGCTATAACTCCACTCTCTTAGGAGGGTTGAAAACTCGTTGAAATTTTGTGGTAGCTTTAAGCCAGCCTGGGCTAGAGGCAGATGACATTTAGAGCATTCTCCCCACTGGGATTCGCCAGTGCACTGATTTTTTTTTTCTTCTGTGGAAAAAAAAAACCCACAAGTAACTGCGTGCAAATGAGTATGCATTCCTTCGAGAGAGCATGCACGCGCTGCAGCAGAGGTGAGTCGGTAAATCTGAAGGGAAAATGGTTAAAAACAGAAAAAAAGATTCATTACTGTTTTGAACATGGAGGAAAAAGTCACAGAAGAAGAAATGTGAATGGCTGGAGAAGCAGAGATGGACATGGCCATGGATTCCCTAGGCTGACTCAGCATCTCTCCAGGCTGTCCCCATACCTCTGATGACATATCTCTCTGTCCCCATACCTCTGATGACATAATTTTAGTTCAAGAAGACCTCTACTGATATGAAGGCAAATACAGCTGCATTATTTTAAGCCATTAAATAATAGTGATTTGGGGCTGTCAAGACGGCAGCTCCATGACTAAAGACACTTGATGACAAACTCAAAGACTTGAATTTAAGACCCGGGAACCACAGGGTGACAGGAGACTTGTCCTCTGAGCTCCATGTGGGCAACAAGACATGCACACATAGGAGCATATACACACAAATAAATACAAGTAAAGGGGTCTAAATGTTAGACTGTGGTGGTGTGCTACACCGGCAACAGGAAGCTGGTACCTAATCTAATATGAGCCACTTGTCAGTTCTCTGGGGATGTGGAAGTGGACTGAGGACAAATAGGCTATCTATCCCAAACTGAATTTGGGTCAGGGCAGACATCTACTAGCCAAGCAAATGTGTAGGATAGAAAAGAAATCCAGAATTTAACAATCTAAAAGTCAAGTAAGACTGAGTTTTTTTTTTGGTTTTTTCAAGACAGCGTTTCTCTGTGTAGTTCTAGCTGTTCTGGAACTCACTCTGTAGACCAGGCTGGCCTCGAACTCAGAAATCTGCCTGCCTCTGCCTCCCAAGTGCTGGGATTAGAGGCGTGCGCCACCACCACCCAGCCTCAAGTAAGACTTTCATGTCTTCAAAATGTCAACCTCTTAAGGAAAAAAAAGGAATGGGGGATATTTTAGGATTCTAAAATTTAGAAGAAAAATCCAAGGGACATTTATTGAGCCTTTGAGCCCATGATGGCAAACTACAAAAGGCCTGGAGAGACACTCAGTAAAGGCTAAGACACACACAAGCCTGAGGACTAACCTCTAGCACCTATATAAAAATGTGAGGTGTGGTGGCATATGCCGGTCATACCAGCAGAGGAGGGTAGACAGACAGATCCTGGGCCTCACTGGCCAGCCAACTTAGCACATTCCAGGCCAGTGAAAGTCCATGTCACAAACACACACACACACACACACACACACACGTGAACAGGATCAATACCTTTGGTTGATCTATGTATGACCTCTGCACACATGCACACACAAATGCACCCACTCCAACATTATATATATAATGGGTCTCACTATATAGACCCAACTGTCCTAGAACTTGCTATGTAAATCAGGCTGGCCTCAAACTTACAGAGACCTATCTCACTCTACCTCCCAAATACTAGGATTAAAGGCACACAATACCACACTTAGCCTATACAACATACTTTAAAGTTTTTATTTATTTTATGTGTATGGGTGTTTTCCTGAATGTTGTGTATGTGCCTGGTGCCTAAAGAAGCCAAAAGATAGTATAGGACTCCCCTGGGACTGGAATTACAGATAGTTGTGAGCTCTCCTGTAGCTGCTCGGAATCTTCTAGAAAAGTAGCCAGTGCTCTTAATCACTGAGGTACCTTTCCATCCCTACTCATCCCCTGCCATATATACTCTTGGAAGGTAGACACAGAAGGATCAGGAGTTCAAAGTCATGTTCCACTACACAGGGAGTTCCAGGCCAGCCTATCTCAAAAATAAACAGTAATAACTATAAAAAAAGATATTTTAAGAGACAAATAAGGAAAATAAGACTATAGTGTACATGATTTTAGTAAATTTAGCATTTTCTTCCTTTATGTTTTTTTCTAAGCGGAGTTTTATATAGCCTAGCCTGGACCTTGAACTTCTAATCCTCCTATGTCCACCTCCTGAGTGCTTGAATTACAGGTGTGTGCCACCAGTCCTAGTTTATGCGGCTCTAGGGATCTAACCCAGGGTCTCATGCACGCCAGACAAGTGCCCTATTCACTGAGTACATTTTAACATTTTTTTTTACTATTATAATGATACTCTGGTTATAAGGATTGATGGATTGATTGGGTTTTTTTCAAGACAGAGTTTCTCTGTGTAGCCCTGGCTGTCCCAGAACTTGTTCTACAGACCAGGCTGGCTTCAAACTCAGAGATTTGCCTGCCTCTGTCTCCTGAGTGCCAAGATGAAGGTGTGCAGCACCACCACACAGCTCATGTCTTTATTTTAACTTGAGCCAGTCAGTTGGATCAGCAGGTAAAATGTACTTGGTCAGAAAACCTGGTGACCTGAACCTAATTCTGGGAACCCACATAAAGGTGTGAGGAGGTGAAACTCTATAACATTGTCCTCTGGCCACCACATCACCACATGACATGCGCCCTTCTCCCTCCGTATCCTATATGTGCACATACATGTGCACATAGATACAATGGCAACTTTTTAATGTTTAAGATTCACTTTGTTTATCTATTTTATGTGAATAGATTTTTTTTTTTTTTTTTGGTTTTTGAGACAGGGTTTCTCTGTGTAGCCCTGGCTGTCCTGGAACTCACTCTGTAGACCAGGCTATCCTCGAACTCTCAAACTCAGAAATCTGCCTGCCTCTGCCTCCCAAGTGCTGGGATTAAAAGCGTGTGCCACCACCACCCGGCAGGAATGGATGTTTTATCAGCATGTTCATCTGCACACCAGAAGCAGGTGTAAGAGCCCATGGACCAACTGCTGTACAATGGTTCTGAGCCACCCTGTGAGAGCTGGGAACTGAACTCAGGGCCTCTGGAAGAGTCCTAGTGCTTTGAAGCATTGATTTATCTCCAGCCCTTTTTTTTATTTGTTTGTTCATTTATTTATTGAGACAAAGGTTTCACTATGTAGACTAGGCTGGCCTTGAACTCCGAGAAATCTATCTGCTTCTGTCTTTTGGGTACTAAAGGGAAAAAAATATTTTAAAGAAAAAATGCTTTAAAAAGCCAATGTGGGGGCTGGAGAGATGGTTCAGTGGTTAAGAGCATTGACTGTTCTTCCAGAGGACCCAAGGTCGAGTCCCAGCACCCACACGGCAGCTCGCAGCCATCCATAACTCCAGTTCTAGTGGCTCTGGCTATCTCACAGAGACATGCAGGCAAAACATCAATGTAAATAAAAAAAAAATCGGAACAAAAAAAGCCAATGGGATTTTTTCTCTAACTATGCAATCTGCTTTCAAATAATTTAGTCAACACATCCAGGAGCTTGGGGATGTCTCAGTGTTTGAAGCTTGAGCCCTAGGTTCACTGCCCAAAAATAATCATTTCATGTGTGATTCGAGTTTTCCTTTGAGTAACCTGTTCATATTCTTTGTTCATTTTTTTATGGAACTACTCGTATTTTTTTTTCATAATTTCTGAGGTGAAAAACAATCTCAGTGGTGGTGCATGCCTTTAATCTCAGCACTCTGGAGACAGGATGATCTCTGACTTCAAGGCTAGCCTGGTCTACAGAGTGAGTTCTAGGACGGTCAAGGCTACACAGAGACAAAGAAACTGTCTCAAACAAAAAAGAGAGAGAGAGAGAGAGAGAGAGAGAGAGAGAGAG